CTGAAGGCAGACTATATGTAAGTAACCCAAAGATACTTATCCAATAAATCACATAGGGTACATAATCCTGTAATTTACCATTATAAAAGACTCGGTCCGCTAGAATTAGCGTCGGGAGTCGCTCTTGGTAGAGTACTTAGGATGAATATTTGGATAGAATCTTACGAGGATGGAAGGCAAAAATGACAGCAAACAGCCAAAAGAAGTTCAAAATCGAAAACTTTTTATTTCAAAAAGTGAGTACAGAGCCCTAGGTCACCATATCAGAATAAAAATATCAGTTCATGTGTGTCTGGCACAAATCCTCATAGCATGCTACTATATCTTTTGTGAATCGAGGAAAAACATAGATACACCTATCACATTAGTCCTCTTAGTCAAATTTTATTTGCAACAAACGAACACTTAGTATGTGTCAACTTAACACGACTCACAAAAACTACTAGGTAAATGTTTTATCGGGAAAAGTAGTGCCCTCCAAAGCCTGAGGTAGCCAATCAAATAATTATATCAACGTAGAAAACACATCCATCAGTCAACTACGATCACAAGGAAAGCAAATCTCGGTGCATGTGAAACAGACTCGGTCGTTAAAATGGACGGTTTACTTATCTAGTACTTCGGACCCATACTGGAATCCATTACCCCATGCAACAACGAAAGGAGACCGAGAAAGGTGATTGGTTGACATATCCAAGCAGCCACCGATCGCCACTCCTGTATGCTGTTAACTACCGACGACAGCGAAATAGGTGTGGCGCCCGGAGACTTGAATTCAGTCTGAAAACTGATAAGCATTCAACAGTTTAGTGGACCCATCCATGTTCTCCGCAAAGTTCTTACATTTTGATATGATTAAGTGAATAATAAGAAAATTTAGTGAGATAAAAAAGCTGAACAGTTATCGTCCCCTCAAACATAGTCTCCGGGCATACTGGGATGAAACGGATAGTCACTCGGGTGGGGATGTCGCAGTTGCTGCTGCTGCAAGTGAAGACCTG